AAGGATTGTAATGAAAGGTACATATTGCATGTCACCAAAAGAGTGGGCACTATTGAATTACCCACTAGTACACATCAAAATCCTGAGATCCATATAAAATACCAAGACTTAAAAGAAGTATTCAGCAAGACTCAGTCTAATACTCTACCTCCTCACAGACCATATGACTGTTCCATTAACTTACTACCAGGCGCTATGCCACCTAAGGGAGCGGTCTATGCTCTATCTCCTCAGGAGAGTAGTGTAATGGAGGAATATACGAAAATAATCCTCGCCTGCTGGCAGGGCCGTCTTTAATAACGAATGGACCCTGGGCAAGTGTTTGCTTGGGCCCCCTGGGCCCTGCCGCTCTCGCCCCTCACTCCCTGGTATGCAATCACGGCATCCATCCCAACGCAGTGGCGGTACTAAAGTAGAATGAATTTTATTGGGATTGCAAGGTTGGACTAAAGGTAGAACCCCATCTGTCGTGCAACTCCAACAATGCTTTGACAGCTGGGACTCTACCAATTTCCCATGCTTGCAGGGTTGTATTTAGCACTGAGCCATGTTAGTATGTTTGAATGTAAGCATGTGTTTGTATGGAGTATGTTTGTGTGAATGTGTTTTGTATGTGGTACTGGAGTTTGAATGCAAGTGTGCATTTATGTGTAGTGTTTGTTTTTGAATGTAGGAGTGTGCTTGTATGTAGTGTTGGCGTTTCAATGCAGGAGTGTGTTTTATATGTAGTGTTGAAGTTTGAATGGAGGGGTGTATTTGTATTTAAAGTTGCGGCTCAGATGCACAGGTACACACTCTGACGCACAAGCAGATACACAGATACATACACTGACTACATACAGATAAACAGGCACATACACTGACAGACATACTGACACAGGTACATATATTGACACACACACAGACACATACACTGGTAGGCGTACTGACAGACATACTGACACAGGCCCATATACAGACATACTGACACACAGACACATATACCGACATACTGACACACACAGACAGACACATACACTGATCAACATACTGACACACATACACTGACAGAAATACTGACACCCACACACTGACAGATATGCGAGCACCCACATACACTGAAATACTGACACACACACACAGGCACATACACTTTGAAGCACACACAGACGCTGATATACTGACACACACACACACAGAGCATACTGGCACACAGACAGATATATACTGACACATGCATACATGCACTAACAGACATACTGGCCTTTGCTGACAGACATACGGCCACACACAGATATACACACACACATATATACTGACACACAGACAGACAGACATACTGACACACACACACAGACATACTGACACACACACACAGACATGCTGACACACACACAGACATGCTGACACACACAGACAGGCATACTGACATGCACAGACAGACTGACACACACACACACACACACAGACATACTGAAACACACACACACAGATATACTGACACACAGACAGACATACATAGTGACAAAAACACACACAGACAGAAATACTGACACACAGACAGACATACTGACACACACACAGATATACTGACACACAGACACTAACACACAAACACACACTAACACACAAACACACTAACACACATACACTAACACA